TTGTAAAATGTTGTTGAGTAGCTGCTCCCAGCACATTATATTCATGATGAGGTGCCAGCTGCCATGTTTTCCACTTGGATGCACAATAATGTAAGTATGAAGTCTTAAAACTGCAAGCACAATTGCAAGCACAGCCTTGAGAGCTATTCTGTGTGGAATTATTTTAGACTCTTGCCTTCAATATACAGTATACAGTCAAAATTTCTAAACATATCCTTTATGTTTTGAATGCTGAAAAATATTTTCTTCATCTTGAGTAAAATATCAGAGTCTTGTATCAAAACAGATCATGCCATGATCATAACCATACACTTTTAGCCATATAGTGTTTACAATATTATTTTGTAGACATGCATCGGAAATACACTTTTTCTCAACTCTAACAAAGAGCTGAGACTCTTATCATCAAGGCTTCTTCAGCAAAAATGCATGATGTTCAGCTGCTTATTTGTCACATGTCCTTTTTGATAATGTGACTAAGCACATTAATTCATACTATGCAAAAAAGTTTCAGAGCGTAATTCACAAATTGTCTTATTATACAAACTAAAACTTTGGGTCTGGTAAACATCTGATAAAAAATAGGAAGAACAGAATTTTTGTACAACTGTTGCATCTCATTAGAATACTGTACCTACAATGTAACCATTCATAAAAAATTCATACAGAAACTATCTTTTCTTCAGCCATTATAAGTTTTTTTCTGTATCATTATCTGATTTACCAGTCTTAAAAACCCACTACCCTGAGCAATGTAGATCTTGATGTTACTAAATCTGTATCAAGTAACACAAGTTATTAAACAGGTATATTGTGATGACTGGTGCACATTAATATTATTGTTGAAAGGGAAGGTAAAATGAAATAATATTATTAATGGCAATACACAGATGGTAGAACACTGAAGGGAAAACACAATGATTACATTGCTGGAAGAATGACATCCAGACTGACTTACAGTATGTACATTCGAGACCAATAGGCCATTTTACAGTTGTGGGGAGCAAAGAAAGTCAGTTTTACAGCCTGCCATTTGGGCAAGCTGTAGCTAGCGTGTACTAGACCACAAGTCTTTTCAACTAGCCCAAAACCCTTTTTGATTAGCAGGATTGATTACAATCCTTCTGTAATTTGAATTTCCCCCAAAAAAAGCACTTGCCCGTGGGGCAAGTTACAAAAAAAAAATCACTAGCCCGATAGCAAAATCCACTAGCGCTGGGCTATCGGACACGACTTTCTTTGCATGCTGTGTCATAGCCTTTGAGCGAATGTGAGGCTGAGGTTGATATGATTAAACTTCCTTCCTTTTCTTATAGATGTAAATTTTGTTGGAAAAAAAACAACTATTATGCAAATATGCCACCTATTTAGATTCCTAAGTGCCTTACATACTTATTTTGTATTATTTATTACCTTAGATTCCCGTTATTTCTGACCCTACCTGTAATTCAGTTCTCACTGCAAAAGGTAGCAATAAACCAATTTATTTATTTTATTTATAAGAACAACACGATCTACATAATAAAGAAGGAGGGGTTGTATAAAAACAAGGTCAACTCCAGCCTCGACTGTAACTGTGAAATAGGCTATTATTGCTTTCCCTTTAGTTGTAGATGCAGATGTAGTGTTTGCTTATACTATGGACTACATTTATATGGTGGCCCAGAAGGGTCACACATGCAAATTAAAAATGTTGCTGCAAACTAAAAATTTTACCTGCAAATTAAAAACTGTACATGCAAACTAAAAATATTAAAAACATGAAACAGGAATGGGCCGATGGCTGAAAGGCCAGGTCGCATGGCTCGGACCAAGTCCTTATCACTCACACTGCGCGTGCAGGACTTTTCATTTTTAATTTGCATCAATATGTTTTCTATTTTCAATTTGCAGCACAATTTTTAGTTTGCATGTACTATATTTAATTTGCAGGTAATATTTTTAGTTTGCATGTACAATTTTTAATTTGCATGTACTATTTTTAATTTGCAGCAACATTTTTAATTTGCATGTGTGACCCTTCTGGGCCACTGTACATTTACATGATTGTATTAAATAACCAACAAAAAAGTGATTAAGTCAAGTACATGTATATGGTGGGTCCCCCCTTGAGCATTTATTATAAATTTATTACAGTGAACCGCATCCGTTAGGAAAGTACCCAGACGTTTACCGACTCCAATTCTTCCCTAGTTTTGTAGTAAACAGGTGACTTATTTGTGGTGAGGAATGTTTTGAAAAAAAAATTAAAAAGATAAGGAGGTCTCTGAGTCGCTACATGCATCACTCCGTCATTAAGAGGCAGTAGAGTCAGAAATTCACAACCTGGCAAGAAACAGAGAAACTAAGCCTAAGCTTATATAAAACTCAACAACATCTAAATAATTGAAGATCAAGACGTTGTCTGACACAGTTTGAGTGATAAAACATACCAATTAAACAGTAAGCTTACCTTTCTCCGTTTTCCCCGAGTCGGCAGGACGTTTCAGTGAAGTTGAAAATACCTTTCCTCCTCCAAAAAAGACTATTGTAGCATTTTGTAAACTAAAAATTTCACATCCCAGCCGATGTACTTTGCTTTAGATGAGTTCTTTTTGCAATGCACTCAGCAATATACGCATATAAAAAAATCTTGTCAACGCCCCCTATAAGTACTATAGGCTAAGAGAAGGACATCACACTTTGTAAACCTTTCCATGCCATCTTGAACGAACGATCGAAGGAGGACTTTGGCTTTGGCAGCCATCTTTGTTTACTCACTAACGCACGGTGAGGAGACTGAACACCACAAAATCAAACAGCCAATCAGACAAAAGTCTCCTTTGTTAGTCTGATGTGGATACAACCTCGTTCCCAGGGTTCTCTCCGCAGAGACTAGAAGGAGAGAGCCCTGGGAATGAAATTGCTAATGATACATAATTCATTTGACTGCTGCTCTGATAAATAACTTCTGCACAGGTTGTTGAAACGTGGGTCATGCACTGTCAACAGTCCTTGTTATATCTAAATGATGATATGACCATCGCAGTTGTAATCGCAATTTGGGCAATCGCGAATTAAGCCCGAAAAAATATTCGTGCTTTAATGGGATTTAAACCCATGGTCATATCGTCATTTAGATTTGTTTTTCCGCGGTTCACATCTTCATTTTAAGTCTTATTCATATCCTGCGTAGCGGTGGTTTTGATGGGAAGGGCCTGGAGAGTTAGGGGAACGCGAGCGAGCGTTCAAGTCGAAAGGAGATGTGGCCTGTTCCAGGCTCCAAGATAATGGAGAAAGCAACTCGACAAAATTTGCGCGAAAACCGCTTGGGGGCTGAGGAGAGACGGATCGTTCCGGTTCACCAGCGCCTGATATATCCTATGATTGGTCAATTGTGACATTTTGCCTCAACACTTACGTTAACAATTTGCCTTTGTGCGCGTAGAGACTAAGCATGTGAAACCATCCTACACCGTACCTTTCGACGATTTGACGTTTTGAAATTTTACATTTTGACACGAGAAACGGTTTTTCGTGAAGTGGGCTGGGTAGTGGCGGATTGAGGTATTTAGAGGGATGCTTACAGGCTCCCCCTTTCCTCTTCCCGCCGTTATTTCGCTCGTTTTCTTTTTTTTTTTCGGTTTTTGCTCGTTTGCACTGACCAAGAGCTTGCAACAGGCTAGGAGAGTGGAGCAGAAACAACAAGAAACGCGTTGCTGTTCGTAGCTTCGCCGCTCATTTTTCCGGTTTAACGCCTTCTCGCGCTAACTTCCTCATAGAAAACGACAGCTACGCAGGCTATCTTTTTCAGCACTTAAGTTGATTTCCTGCGTGCCGCTGCCTTTAACTTTTTGCCGTCAGTGTTTTTTTTACACTTTACATACGAACTGAGGTTGAGTCTTGTCAATGGTGTCAAACCAGTGCCATTACAAAAAGTTCAAAATGGAGGCACCCGAGAATTTAAAAGTGTTTGTTGTAGTCAATTTTGTTTTACCCCGATTAAGTCAATCTTTTATTTATTTCAATTTTAGCTGGAGTCGACAGCAAGCCGTAGACTTCATGGTAGAGAATACTGCTATGTCTCTTCATAACATAAACACTGAGATAGATCGTTATATCATCTGGCCAGGACAGGTAGGTTGTTGTACATCTGCTTTAGCACTTTGTCGGTGCTTCATTTAGGCGTAAATACATTGATTTAGTCTGTACCTTCTTAACTGTGTTAAGTGCTCATATAAAAGCTTATGTGCTCTGCCGCGCTCCTTAATTGCCTTCCTCCCCACCCCGCTCCGCTAAACGCATGCTAATCGCTTGGGGGTCGGGTGGGGGAGGTTGAGAGATCGGTGGGAATTTTCGTAAAGTCATTAAGTACAGATGATCTCGCTTGGTTTAGAGGCGCGAGTGAGCTGTGACATTAGGTACAATGAAATTTCAGAGGTGGCAGACTCAAGTCCTTAAGATCTAGCAAAAGAAAGAGCTGAATACAGTTGAGATGGGATGATTCTGGAGTTGCGCAACACGCGAAGACTATGCAGTCTCTCGTCTGTTGTTTCATATTGTGGTTCCAGGCGAAAACTTAAAACTGTAACGTGGCATTTCGTGCATGTAATTTCGTTTTCAATTGTCATGTTTTGAAATACATTGGTATTACCGTATTTGTTTGTTTGTTTTTTCGTTAAGGCCGGGGGAGACTCGCATTTCTTTTATATATTCTTCTTCTTCTCTCTTTGCCACAGGCCTGTGCGTACAAAGTGGGTGAAATAAAAATCAAAGAACTTAGAAAGAAAGCAGAGCAGAAACTTGGTTAGTCGGGTTTCACTAGTAAGAACTTGTTTTTTATTTTACAGGATGTGTTATCAAAGAAGACATGATTCTTACTATGTCGGTACGATTTTTTTTCAGGGGAGAAGTTTGATATCAAAGACTATCACCATGTTTTTCTTTCGGCTGGTCCTATGGGTATCGACACCTTGGAAGAGGCTGTGGACGAGTATATAGCAAACGGTTTGACGCAGTAAATATCTAACTGGCGACAAACAATTAGTGATTTTCCAACATTCAAGAAATTTATTAGTATAGTAAATTATTGTCAAAGAATATATATATTTTTTTGAAGAGGAGCTTTTTAAATTTATTTGCTCCTCATTAAATTAACGTATTAATTTATTAGCTAGTGTTTAATCTAGTATGTTCTTTTTTGAGGCACTTTTCGTTAGCATAGTCCTACAATCGGGCGAAGTTCAAAACAGAGCAAACTTTTTGCGTTGCGACCGAACCCGCACCTCTAGACCGGACCCCCTTTTGTATCTTAATCTCTCCATCACCACTATACTATCACACCGACGCGGCAAAATTCCCGAAAAATTACCAACCACTGTCTATCTTAACTGATACATCAATAACAGGTGATCCTAGCACTTTCCATAAACTTTAACGTAATTCAACTTTGGCTTACCATTAGGTAACGACCATTTATGAAAGGGAAATATACGACGGCGGAGCCGGGGGACTGGGGGAGGTGTTTTGGCGTTAGTCGTTCTTTCCTACCCCTCCTTATTTGAGAGAAGGTAACGTTGTTTAGAGAAAAAAAAACGTCTAAAATACTATTGGGGAGATCAGCATATAATTTTAAATTTGTCCATTGATGTACGTCTTGCTGTGTTATTCTTCCAAATCCAATGTGGAATCCATAATTGCGAAGGGAAGCAAAAACAGCAAGTCAGTAATGTTAATTATCATAAACACATTCAGCGTTTTTTGCTTAAGCTGCGATCACCGATAGCATTTTGCGGTTATAATTAGCGGTTAAATCAAAGCGTTGAAGCATAAACCGCGACCTCACCATAAGTCTCTTATCCCGAAGCTTGAATTCAATAGGAAAAGAAATCGTAATCAGCTTTCTCCAATGGTCCCTGTCTCTCTCTCCCCAGGAACTAGTGAGCGCCTTTCCCTTAAACAGCAACAAAAAAAATAGAAGGAAAGAAAGAAGGGGAGAAAGAAGGTTGGAAGAAAACAAGTAAAAACAATTTGAAAAAGAGAGGACACGAGATGTTTTATTAAGAACACAGTAATAAGTTAAGATGTAACTGAGATTTCTGTACTTCTCTGTTATTTTATCATTATTTTTTAATTTTGTGTAATTCACGCCGAGTCAGCAGATCAGAATGCTTGAATCTATACTCTAGGGACTGCTTTTACAGTTTTTATCCGTTTGAGCTCAAAGTTTGCAGGATGGTAGAACTTTTGTATTCCAAACAATCGTATGCGTTTTTGTTGTCTTCTATTTGAACGGGGTTTTTGTGTGAAAAAAATGACCCGATTTCCCTCGATTTAAACGATTTTTTTGTAAAAAAAATGGCTTGTGACAGCACCAAACCATGTAAAAATGGGTAAATGATGAAGAATAACCATCCCCCTTCTCCACTCGGATAATGACGAAGAAAGTGTAATGGTTTGTTACTGCTGTCACAAATTATTATTATGACAAATGACATGCTTTGTTTGTTTGTAAATCCTATCATAACGAGACAATTTATTTTTTCCTTTCGTTGGCATGACAGCGTAATGTGAATATTTTACATAATTTACTGTATGCCAATTTTGGCGGGAAGTTAGGGGACAGGTATAAATGGCTCTCATTGTACAAACAATTATTCCAAGAAAGCGCTTAATTGGTGGACTATGGACTAATGTGGACTATTACCAATGCTGCGTTCTGATTGGCTGAGCTACTACTAGGCTATATGTTCTTGCCCACTTGTAGCGGAAAGCGCCGGCTTAAAAAACCAAAACAATGGCGGCTGAATGGCGTTTTGCTAGCTAAAGTTGGTTTGTTTCAATATTTATGACCAACTAGTTGGATTTTACTAAAACAATTATTCCTCTCGCCGTCATGGCCTCTGAGTCAATAGCCCATTCGGCCTTCGGCCTCATGGGCTATTCGGGCTCGAGGAATAATTGTTAATTAGATTCATGCCCAGCATATTTACTGAAAGCGAGTGAGATATTTAGACGAGAAAGAATTTTTCTCATCCAGTGTCATAAATAAATGCTCTATTTTTAGTCATGAACCCTTGTTTGGCCTAAATAAACCAAATTGTTTTCGTAAAAGCAGATACGATAAAATATGATATTGATATTAGGGAAATGTTGAATGATTAAAAAACATTGTTCTCAATTCCCCTGTGATAAAGGCACAAGTTGGCTAAAAATGTTAGAGCAATTGGAACGATAAAAATATTTATATCCAAAGAATCTGATTAACCACTTCCTACGATGATCAACAAAGAAATGAAATATTTTTAGTTCCACAGGTGTATTTCGTCATTCCTTAGCAATTTTTAAAATCAGATTACTTATTCCCTACTATCGAAGAGCGTCAACGCATTTTAATTCATCTTTATTTGGTAGCTTTATTTAATTAGTCCGTCAAAGAATTCGACCGGCCATTAATTTGTTCCAACCGCGTAAAACTATATCGGGAAAATTCATAGCGGAGCTCTCGCGCACGCAGCGGATCACCATGGGTAAGAAAATGAGGTAAACCACCCATCCGAGAAAATTTGGTAATCACGTGACCGTACACCGAATGACCGACCGCTCGAGATTCCCTCGGCACCACAGGCATACCAATGTCAAATATTTCAGTCAACAGAGGTCAACAGGTATGGCAACCGAAATGCAACTCAAGGTTTTATTTGGAAAGAAATCGCGTGGCCGCCCGGACTGTAAGAAAGAAAAAGCAACAACAAAGTCGTGTCTTTTTCGACGTTATTTTTGATGTTTACACTCACGTGGACAACAGAGAAAGAGCTAGAGCGAGTGATTGAAAACAAAGGAGACGAATTTTGTAGGAAGAAAAACATGACAATTCAAAGCGGCGGTGAGACAATGGGAAATGCCAGCGCCCAGCAAGGAGCAGCCAGCAAGGTGAAAATGAGGACATGAACACAGTAGACAAAATATTAGGTAAGCACATACGACAATTCCTCTATAAAAATAATGTGTACCTAGGAAGTTTGACGATTTAGTCCTGCAAAACAGCGTTGTAGTTTTGCAAAACAACGGAAAAGAAAGACAAAAAGCGTGCTGCACGTGGAAATTTGTTTTGTTGCTAATTAGGAAAAAAAGTGTGCTGCACGTGCAATTTGTTTTTTCGCTAATTAGATCTATTGATCTTGATGCCATTTTCATTACCGTCTCCGTTTAACATTACACGATTTAATTTTTTTGTTTTTACGTGTTATTAACCAGAGCTTCGCTTTTAGCCCTGGCTAAATCTATATATATTATTATTGCTGACGTAAACGTCCCCATACGACACACCCAGAGCCGATCGGTTGGTTATTCTTTCATGTTACGTTTACGCCAATACACTGTCCATACTCAAGTATACCCTGTATACCCATGTACTCCCTTGCGTAACATGAAAGAATAACCGATGACCCAATTGTCGTGATGCCCCGGTCGATCTGCTTGTCACTCTAGACCAGACAGTCTCTTCCTCTTGCCTTAATACACCCAATTGTTATTTTTACGTTCTGGCAATAACTTTTATTTCTTCAGCTGTTGTTTCTTACGTATACAGTCAAAATTATAATTGCTGCAGTCTTTGAACCATTAGTTCAAAAAGTCTTAGCAAAACTGGAATGCTACCACCTTACTTTTTTTCTAAGCAAAAAATCAACATGCAACGCAGTATGCTTCGGTCTTGAACTTATGATAAAAATGATTTGCTTTTTAAATTGCAGTACAATTATTGTTGTTTTTGTTGTTAATGTTTTGTTGTACTTAGTCAATTATAGTTGTTAAAAAACCTAGATACTTGAGTTCCACAATGCATTGATCTAAATACAACCAGCCATATTAGAACAGCTACCCGCTCCTTGAGATCGTGTATATGTCCAGATTAGATTTACGTCTTGAAGACTACTTTACTAACAGCTGATGGCTTTATATCGTCAACACCTGCTGGAAAATAGAAATGAAAAAATATCAAATTATTATTATTATGTATTATCTTGTGTTCATAAGTCCTCTAGATCAGTCATTTGAAACTATTTCAGTGATCCAGAAAACTGTGGTTCTTAACTAAAGAGTGCATGTGTTCGTACGTATAAAAACGGCCACTTCAAGTTTTCCCATTGAAAACTGGTGTTTATCTCTTGCGTCTTTCCTCTCAAAGTTCAAGAACCTCGCCCGTTCTCCAAAACAGTGGGAATTAACTGGAATGTACAACTCGTAAGGCTAACCAAACGAGGTTTAACGTTTTCGAATAATACTTATGGCTCTTATCAGCCAACAGAGGCAGCTCTCGGTTGCACAAATTCTGTCCAAACTTGTGTTTGAGAATGAAAGTGTATGGTAATGACTTTAAACAAGAGAGGATAAAGGGGACAGAGAAGGCATCCCCCATACACACCCTATTCCATAGGTAATTCGTCTCGAGTTCTTTTTTAGAATGGGGATAAAGTTACCTCGCGCTGCGTGGATGTTTCGTGGAGGTTTCGCATGACTAAACACCGTGCAAAACATGTCGGGCGAAAGGCAATGAAAGCGTAAAGAGATCGAGAGCATTTCTGAATATTGAAGGAAATGAGTCGGCGCTCACCTGGGAAAAGGGAATCGCTGGACTCTTTGACAACCCATGAAATCAGTTTAACCCGAAGTTGTCGTAACCTCAGTGCTTTAATAAAATGAGAAATTTCGCCGGTCTATTGAAACCGGTGGTTTGTACAATAAAGCAAGTAGGACGCCAAGTGTTATTTTTGTTGAATAATAAAAGACTAAAAAAAGAATAAATATCAAACCAGAAATTACTCTCTTCAAACCGCAAATTATAAATGATCCTGAGAGAATATTCAGTGTGTTAATGATTTCCCTGCTGTACTGTCAGCTTTAAACAAGAGAGGAAGGGTGATTCTTTTTAATTTCCGTTTCGCTGACACAGTTTTAGCAGAAATCTCTCTGTAGTCGTTTTCGTCGACAAGACGAATAGCAATATCGCTCTCCGTATCAT